GGGTGGTCTGGGAAGGCCTGTCGGGGAGGGACAGTGGATCGGGGGACTTGCAGGCTGAGAGGGCCCCAGCCACGGGGAGAGAGTTCCAGGCAGGGGAATGGCCTGTGCAAAGGTCCCGAGGTGGACAGGCTTGGTGTGTTCAGGAAGAGCAGGTGGCCATGAGCTGACGAGCGGGGAGAGGAAGGCAGACTGGACCGCATGGGGCCTTGTAAGGTCTGCATGGGATCCCAGGAGAGTGAGTCTTCACTAAGCACTGCGGGTCCGGACCAGGAAAGTGAGGGGCTCACCGTCTGTCTGGGAAGTCCTGTGTAGGGGGCAAACCCCTCCCTCCCTACCTCAGCCAGGTCAGGCCTGGAGAGGGCGAGGGGGAAGCTGCCACAGTGGCCCAGGCTCCCCGCAGGTGGAGCTGGGTTCTGCATGGAGGACACCTTGCTTTGAAGCCAGCGCTCAGCAGGGTGTGTCCTGGAGACCTGGTGTCCTGCCACGGGGCAAAGTGCTTCCCGCTAGGTTGCCGCTCCTGCCCTAGGCTCCCACCTGGCCCCTCCTCTGGAGCCCGGGACAACCCTTAGTGGCTGAGGCTAGAGCCAGATGCCCAGGAGAAGCAATTAGGTGCCGACCTCTAACCTCCACATTCCTTATTTTCCCCCAATTAGCACTACTGACCTTCCAAGTTCCTGTGCATGTCGTAATTAACAAAATTAATAATAATCATAGGTTATATTTATTGAGTGCTTACTGTGTACCAGGCACTGAGCTACACATATTCACACAAATCAACCCGTCGAATCCACACAAAGCTGCTCTAATCAGCTCTGCTTCCAGATGAGAGAAACTGAGGCATAGAAAAGTCAAGCAACTTGCCCAAGGTCACACAGCTGGCAAGTGGCAGAGCCAGGAAGGGACCTCCAACAGCGTGGCTTCTAAATCCAAGCTTTTAACCAGTCCTTCCTCTGCGACACCTGCTGTGAGTACTAATAACAGCAAAGCAGCTGAGGTTTGCCGAGCCACTGCGCAGGAACCAGCTTTGTAAGTCTTGGCCATTCTTGACCCCTGCAAGGAGCCTTCTAAGGCATTTCTTCCTATAGCTCTCGCCCCTGAACTTGTAATGCCACAGATACACTGGGTATCTGCTTTAAACATAAAGAGTAAAAGATGTTTTTCCCCCTCGGGAAGCAAATCTATCCTGTCGGGACAGCACGCTCTACCCAGACGAGCTTATGACAGCGCCGTAGGTGGGGAGGATGATTATGCCTGTTTTGTGATGAGCCTGACGTTCAAAGAGATTCAGGCCTTCTCCCAGTCTGCATGGCTCGGCAGGGGTGAGGGAGCCCCACCTGAGTCCACCTGTCCTGGCGGTAATGCTGAAGCTAGTCGTCCGGCTTAGGCAGCCCCCAAACATACACCAGAGTCATCTGATCTGGGGCCTCTGACCTTTCTGAGTCCAAATGGTTCCATGCCCATGCGTGTACACGCTCCTGGAATGCAGGTGACTTCAGGAGCCCCTGACCCAGAGTGGTCTGGAATGGCTGTGGCACTTGGGCGGGCATCAGAAAGAGCCGGGGCCCGGGCTGGGGCCAGAACCTTGGCTACACGTGCTGTGTTACCTGGCTGTAAGTGCCAGCTGCTGCAGCAGCCCGTGTTCCTAACCTGGGGTTTGGGGATCCTGGGGGTCTGCAGTAGGGCTCCCTGAAATGGAAAGGGAATCACCCCGGGCTTCTAGGAGGCCCAGTATGGCCTCTGCAGTTGGATAATGCAGTCACTGCCCCCACCAGACCCCCAGGCCCCCCGGCTGGCACTGCACAGACACCCTGCCCCCTCTCTTTTGCGGAGAGGAAGTTGAGGGCACAGTGAGAATCAGAGCCAAGTGGGACTGGTTGACTTCCCAGGCTGGGCCCACTGACCTTCCTTCTGAGAAAAACGCTCCAGGCGAGTAAATCCAGGCCTTCGTCCAGTACCCAAAATAGTTGGCATCTCCGGCCTGGGCCTCCACGTCCTGAGGAACAATGGGGCATTGTGCAGCCCCAGGCCTCCCAGACAGGAAGCAGGGTCCTGCAGAGCCCATGTCAACAGCGACCCCGGGCCCCAGGCCCACACATGCGACCCGAATGGCAGGTGTGGGCCGCCTGATTTCCTTCAGCTGTGGCAGGAAGCGCCACGCAGCGGTCTCAGCTCACAAGGCAGGGCCTGGGGCCGAAGCTAGGAGGGAGTGAAGAATGAACAGACAGACAGAGAAAGAGGCCAGACCCTCAATTGACCCCACCTGGGCTGTCCCCCAGGAAGCTTCCCTATGAAGACGGGGACGACGCTCTGTCCTAAAGCCAGCAGTCTCCAAATGCTCCCTCTGTGCCAAGGACCGCGCCTCCCATGGGTGGTGTGTAACTTAGCCCTGGGCTCGCGTCCTCCTGTCGAGCCCCGCTTTGGGGCCTGTGGACCCTTGTCCAGGTGTAGCTTCGTGCCCCCGGGCCTCGGCGCTCACTGCTCCCATCCCCTGAAATGCTCGTCTTTCGCTTGTGTTTCTGCTCTATTCCAATGTCACCTCCCCAGAGAGGCTTCCCTGGCCAGCTCCTCCCTCTCTGCCCTTGCTCTACTTCCCTGGCGTGGCACCTGTGTGGATGTGTCGTTGTGGGGTTTGTTTGCCACGTGATCTCACCTCCTGCGCCCGCACTGAGCTTGGGAAGGACCCTGATCTGCTCCTTCTCTACCCTGGTGCCTGCACATAGGAGGTGCTCAGCTGGCATTTTCTGAGCCGATGGCTTGGGCTACTGTGCGGTTTGCCCGGCTGTCCCTGTCATCCCACCTGAAAGGTGAGCCAGCCCGTGCCCTTGCAGAGAAACTGGGAAGAAAGGCAGCGCAGCCTGAGTGGAGCGCACATCGGGCAAGGAGCGGCCCCGTGAGCCAGGGTCTGAGCCACGCTGTTCCCTCAAGTCCGTGGAGGCCCTCAGGAGGCTTTTAAGCAGTGGGTGTCTTCTCTGCAGAGCGGGGAAGCAACCAGAGGAGCCAAGACCAGCCGGGAAGCTGCTGAGACACAGGCAGGCAAGAGACAAAGGTCACCTGGCCTGGGAAACGGCAGGGCCACAGAGTGACGTGAAGGTCACCTGTCCCGGGAAACGGCAGGGCCACAGAGCGACGTGAAGGTCACCTGGCCTGGAAACGGCAGGGCCACAGAGCGATGGACGTGAAGGTCACCTGGCCTGGGAAACGGCAGGGCCACAGAGCAACGTGAAGGTCACCTGGCCTGGAAACGGCAGGGCCACAGAGCGACATGAAAGTCACCTGGGCCGGGAAACGGCAGGGCCACAGTGACATGGACAGATGCCGTCCAGCATGACCCAGGCCCTCGCTGGAGCCCTCCAGGTGCAAGTGATGATTCCTGTGTTTGTTGCTGTGTGACCCTGAGTGAGATGTTCAGCCTCTCTGGAACTCACAGGGACGATGACAACGATAACGCCAATGACGCCACTAGGGCCCTGCCTGTGTGAGCGGAGCCCTGGAAGTGTTAGTTGTCAGTTGGATGAACCACAGGAAACTGCTGTTTTATGTGCATCAAACAAGTCCAGTAGTGACAATTTCCTAGGGCACAATCTAATAGTATGAACTGCTCACGACATTTGCTATAGTTGCAAGTAAGATAAACTTCAATACAAAAATGTCATTGGGCTACACAGAAGGACATGCAGAATCATGTATGAAAGATTAGCAACCTCTAAGCATGACGCAATGTTATTTACATAGATACATGCAGAATTCTCTTTGAAATAAAGCCCAAAGCTTGGTGCCTAAAGTCATGAGGGGTAAGAGTTGGTTACCAAAGAAAGCCCTCAAAGGAGGACCATATCTTTTCAGGTACAAAAAATAAGGTCTTATGGGTGCTCCAGAATTTATTGGTCTTTTTTGCGGAGGATGGACTCACATCAACCAAATTCACAAGAAACTGAAGTATAACCCCCTCCAGGCCTGCTTATCTGAAAGGGCAAATGTGACTCTCCACCAGACTGGAATCCTTGGTTCTGCCCCCAGTGACTTGTATTTGGAGCCGTGAAGGACTCCAGGGTTGTACTTGTGGTTGTGAAGGACTTCGGGCTGTTAATGGGCCTTCAAAAGGCTGAAATGAGAGTGGGAGTCAGAGAACTACCACCCAGGAGATGGAAACATTAAGTGACGGTCTACCCAGCCCTAATGGAATCTGACAAAAGACCTGATTCACAACGGAAGCCAGCAGAAATCCTGGCCTGAGACTTAGCACCTCTCTTTCGGCTGGTATTGGCTAAATGTCCACAAATCCTTGTCCCCGACCCCCTCCTCCTCTTCTGGGCTTTTCATGAACCTTTCCTCATCCTCCTGTCAAGGCCCCCCTCCCGGCTGCACGGGAGCTCCCACAGCCCCTGGCAGGAGTGGGGATCATAGACTGGGACAGATCTGAGGGCTTGGAACTCACATGTGGCGCCCACCATGACCCATCTCCTGCTCTTTCCACCACGGTCTATGTCCCCGCTCAGATGCATTTGTTTTCACACGACGTGAGCACTCCAAACCTGCTGCCGTCTAGCTGAGGGTTGTCTTTTGACATCCTTGGAAGCCCTTGCTTGGCCCAGCTGTGGGGTGGGGAGGGGGAGGTGTAGAAGGTGGAGGGTGGAGAGCGTGGGCGCCCGCTGCAGACTTGGGGTAGTGTTTTCCCTTTGGCCTTTGTTCTGTTACTCAGTGATGTCCCTGTGTCCTCTGGGCCTGGGATATGAGCCAGGAAGTAGGATGTGTCAGGGAAGCAGTTGGTGGGATAGGGAAGCCCCTCTCTTCCCTGCCACTGACCAGGTTCCTTCCCAGGTCTGCAGGATGCCTTGGACCCGGGCGGCATGCTCAGCCCGTCCTGGTAAGCAGGCAGCTTTTGTTGGCAGGAACACGGTCATTGCCAAATGGCCTGAGCGACCTCACGCTAGGGGCCGAGGGAAGCCAGAGCGAGCCTGGTCAAGTTGAGGACTCTGAGGACAGGCCAGCGGGGAACTCACTGAACGCATGCCGTGTGTGCGATGGCGCCAGGTGCGGGGATGCTCCTTGTGTCGCAGCAAGGGCTGCCGTTGTCACGGTCTTTGCAGTGCTCATCGCGATCACGGAAGGGCTGTGCTCAGCACTCCGCAGGTGTGGCCTCCATCCAGCCTCGTGGCAGCCTGGGAAGCGCTTCTGTTTCCATCTCTCTGCAAGAAACTGAAGACCAGAGAGGCTCAGGGACTTGCTCAGAACTGGGTGGGGAAGATGGGATGTGAAGCCGGGACTACCTGACTCTGTACCCCAGGGCTTCAAACCATGTATGCTATCCGCCCGGACACAGGGAGGGCAGGGAACATGCTGTAGTCGTCTGGAGGTGAAGGGAAGGCCTGCTCCTCCACTCATCCTCAACTCCTGACCTTGGCCCCAAGGAGGCACAGCATGGGTCTCCAGGTGTGGAGAAAGGACCCTGAACATCAGGATGTCCGGGAGACGAGATAGAAAATGCACGTTCCTGGGCCTCGCCTGACCTCCACTGACCCTGAATCTCTGGGTGGCTGATACCTTCCCCAGGTAGGGAGTTAGCAAATGAAAACACAGGATACCTAGTTAAATTTGAATTCCAGGTGAACAACGAATAACTCTTTTAGCATACGTATGTCCCGAATATTTCCTGGGCTATACTTATCCTTCGGGATTACTCATTATTTACCTGACATTAGAATTGAACTGGGTGTCCTGCATTTATTCTGGCACTCTTTTTCCAGGTAGCACAGATGCCTGAAGAACAAGAGCTGTCCTGTGGACTTGTGCCCTTTAGGAGCCCAAAGCGAGCAGGTCCTTGTGAGTCCACTGCATGCTGACCCTGTTTCAAGTTCATGGCCCCAGCATGAGAAACACAGGCGAGGTCCCTCCTCCCAGGAAACTCTCATTCCAGCTGCACCTCCCAGGGTCCCTGCCGGCTTCCACAGGTGGGAAGACTGAGACAGCACAGGCTGCTGGAGTCTCGGGGGAGCCCCCGCCCCGGCCAGGCCTTCCCGGTAGACCAGGGCCATCTGGGCTCAGACTCCAACACCTGGCATTTGCCGAGCGGGAAGTGGCCCACCCTGCCCCACTGGGACCACTTCCCGCCCGCGTTGGCCAGATGGCTGGGCAGAGCTGGGGAGCAGGGGGGCTGGGGCTGCACCGGAGCCAGTCCAGTGCCTTCGCAGGGCAGGGAGCAGCAGTCAGCTCTGTTTCTGTTCCAGCCTTGGAGAGCAGCCGTTGCTGGGAAGGGGAATACATACATAGAACGCTCACATCCCTCCGGCTGTTTCATTGCAAAGAAATCTAAGGTTTAGAAAGAATCTAATTAAGCGTCTCCTCTGCAGTTTTATCTTGCATGAAATGTAATTGCTCGTGAAACTTAGCTCATCCCTGACCAAGAGCCAAGGGGTCAGTGGCTCTGCCGGGACTTGTGTGCGTGTGGGTGGAGGAGGCCATGGGGGTGCCGAGGGGCTTTTTGGGAGCAATGCCAAGGCTCGTGAGCCGGTCCTCCATCCTCCTCAATCCAGCATCCCCCTCGCCTCATCCAAAACCCCCTCACTGGTGCTTAGGAGTTCTAGGAGTTGCCTCTCTTCTCCCGGGTTCTGGGGCAGGCCGTGCAGAGTCCCAATCCTCTGACTGACTCTACAACCCTGGCATGTCACTTCATCATTGCTTCACTGCGGGACTGTCACAGGACTACAGGAAACCCAGCACCCGGCGCTTGATGGATGCTGTCTGAGCCGCGGAGCTGTGCAGATCAACTTTCGTTGCTGTGCTGGCCCAGTGTCACTGTCCTCAGAAGAAGCCCCACGAAAGCAGGAATTTTCTTTTGTCCGCTGAGGAATCACCAGCATTTAGCATCTGGAACAGCTCAGGCTCCAGGAATGTCTTCAGTAAATGAATTCATGAGAGAATGAATGTCTTAGAGTCTGGCAGAAACTGGAATATAGTTTCAAGGAGCTGATGACAACCTTGAATGAAAAGGGGGATGAGTGAGTGTGTAGTCCACAAGGTGCTTTGAAAAATATTCCCCCCTGAGGATGAGATCATCATCCCCATTTCAAGGTGAGAAACTGAGGCTGAGAAGGGAGAATCAAATTCACTCAGGCTGCTCTTTGAAAAACACTGTTGAAAAAATGAAAATACAAACACGGTTTCCAGTTACCGAGAAGGTTTCTAAATATTCTCACTCTTGTTATTCATTCATACCCTTGTATAATGTCCTCCTAGATTGAATAGGGCTGACCTGTGTTAACCTAAACAGGTTTTTGTTGAAATAACCATGTGTGACTTCTGAGGTCAGATCATGGCTAGACCTGGCTTTCTCTTAGGTGCTCACTCAGGCGGAAGCCAGTAGCCATGTTGTAAGGAAGCTTAAGCAGCACTCTGAAGATGTCCATTTGGAAAGGAGCAGAAGCCTCCTGCCAATGACCACCACATGAATGAGCCATTTTAAAGACAGATCCTCTGGACCTAGTCAAGCCCTCAGATGACGGCAGCCCTGGCTGTTACCTTAACTGCAAACTCATGAGAGACCCTAAGCCAGGACCACCCAGCTGAGCTGCTTCTGAATTCATGGTCCACAGAAACTGTGTGAGATAATAAATGTATATTATTTTAATTACCTAAGTTTGGGGGCAATTTTTTATGCAGTAGTATAAATTAACAAACAATGCACAAATTGGAAAAAATGATTGCTGGACACATATCTAATAACACCCATATTCAGAATATGTGAAGAACTCCCACAGCCCAGGAATCAGAAAAACAAACAACTTAAGAAAACGGGCAAAAGATTTGAACCAGCATTTTACACACGATATATGAATAGACAATAAACACATGCTAAACATCGTTACTCATTCAAGAGATTTAAATTAAAATCATACAGAGATACATCTACACACTTATTAGAATAGAAAAAATAATTTAAATCTGACAGTAGCTAGTGCTGACGAGGATGTAAAGCAACTGGGCCTCCCATTTATTACCCGTACGAATGTCAAGTGGTTAGGCATATAGATCTTACGACCGGGCAGTCCCACTTACAGGTACGGTGCTCACACAAGAAAAATAAAAATTCACATTTACAAAAACTTGCACGTGAATGTTTATCAGAGGCTTGTGTGTGGTTGTCCAGTCTGGAAACAACGAAATGTTCCTCAACGAATTGTGATATATCCTTGCAATGAACACTACTCATTATTAAAACCACTGATACAGGCAGCATGCAGATGGAGAGCAGGCGTTTTCTGCTGAGTGAGAGAAGCCAGACTCGCAAGGCGAAGTGCTGTATGAGTCTACTTCCATATGATTCCAGCACATGCCACACTGGAAAAGGCGAAACCGTGAGGACAGAAGACAGACCTGGTTTCTCAGGGCCGAGAGCTGGGGATCCGGGGGACAGCTTGACTCCCAAGAGGCAGAGGAAGCCTTCTTGAGTGATGCCATTGTTCCATATCTCAACTGTGGCAATGATCACAAGACTGTATGCGTTTGTCACAATTCCTGGAAATATATACCTAAACAGGGTGAACTTTAGGTAAACTATACCTCCATAAACTTGACCTTTAAAAAGATTTGCCATTTGACAAGAGTATCAAGACCATCCAATGGAGGAAAAGAATAGTCTCTTCCACAAATAGCACTGGAACAACTGGACATTGGCATACCGAAGAATGACGTAGAACCTCCTCCTTCAGGCCACACATGAAACTGATTCAAAATAGATCAAAGAGCTAAAGGTAGGAGCTAAAATGATAAAACTCTTAGGAGAAAACATAGGAGGAATTCTTCATAACCTTGGTTTGGCAAAGGATTCTTAGAGACTACATCAAAAGCATGAGCAATAAAATACAAAATAGATAAACTGGACTTCTTCGAAACTAAAAATTTTTGTGCTTCAAAGGATACTATCAAGAAACTGAAAAGACAACACAGTGAATGGGAGGAACTATTTGCAAATGATATGTCTGATAAAAGCCTTGTACCCAGAACATATAAATAACTCTTACAACCCAATAATAAAAAAGCCAACCGAATTTCAAAGGGAGCAGAGGATCTGAGTAGTCATGTCTCAAATGGCCTATAAGCACAGGAAAAGATGTTCACCATTGTTTAGGGAAATGCAAATCAGAACTACGCTGAGACACCATGTCACACCCACTAGGACGGCTAGAATCAGAAAGTCCAATGGCAGCAAGCCTTGGCTCTCAGAGGATATGGATAAATTAGAGCCCTCATACACGGCTGGTAGAATTTAAAATGGTGCAGCTGCTTTGAAAAACAGTCCAGCAGTTTCTCAAATGATTACACATAGAGTTACCACATGACCTAGCAATTCCAATCTTAGGTATATACCCAAGAGAAATGAAAACATATGTCTAAGCAGAACCTTGTACATGAGCGTTTATAGCATCATTATTTATAATAGCCAAAAACAACCCAAATTTCCGTCAACGGATGGATAAACAAAATGTAGTGGAGCAGACAATAGAATATTAATTATTCAGCCGTAAAAAGGAATAATGTACTGATACCTGCTTTAACATGGACTTCAAAAATACTCTGCTAAAGAAAAGAAGCTGGTCACAAAAGGCAAATACTGCATGAGCCCATCTGTATCAAAGTCCAGAACACGGAAATCTATAGAGACGAAAAGTAGATTAGTGGCTGTTTAGGGCTGAGTGTGGGGCCTGAGGCTAGAGGTGTGGTAGTTAAATGTTATACCGTTTCCTTTTGAAGTGAAAGTCTGTTAAAATTGACTGTGATGACAGGTGCATATATCCGTAAATATATTTAAAACCACTGAATTGTACTAAAATGGGTAAATTGTATAATTTATGAATTATAACTCATGAAGCTACTTTTTTAAAAAAAGAAAAAATTAAAAAAAAAAAAAAAAAAAAAGACAGCCCAGGCCTAGCTGGACCGAAGACCGAACCACTGAGCCAAGGCCCAGGCAAGGCTGTGGCGCTCGGAGAGGTCCCTAAGGGGCCCCATGTCTTCCTGGCTACAAATCTGTTTTGATGGTGTGCTTTTTAAGGTATTCTCTTCCTGTATTTTTCTCCTCTGTGGAACATGTGCCCCCAAAACTAGACATTTTATTTTGGGGGGTGGACTCGGACCAGCGCTTGGCCTCTGGAACTGACCTCAGGTGTAGCCTCCAAGGTACAACCTGAGAGAATCCAGGAAGACCGCCACCTCCACACCCGGCAGCGGGCTGTCCCCCAGGTGCTGGCTGTGACTTCACCCTGTGGTTCTGCCAGACAGCTGTGTTAACTGCTGCGACTCCCAGGAAGGGTGAGAGACACCAAGACTTTGAGTGAAGAATTAGGTCATCTGATCGTTTTGTCTCCTGGACAAAGGAGTGCCAGCCCCCTCCACCCACTCCCCCCCCGCTGCCCCAAGGGGGCCTACTCACTCTTTGCAGGGGAAATTAAGCCTGATCACGACTCAGGTCCTCTGATGGTTGCCTGGAAAACCAGGTGGCCTAAAGGAGGGGTGCACAAAGCATGGTCCCCTGGCGGCAGTAGCATCTCCTCCCGGAAACCCTTTAGCAATACATGTTCTCAGGCCTCACCCCAGACCTACTGGGTCAGAAACTCATTTTGGGGGTCCACGTAGCAATATGTGTTTTTATTTATTTATTTATTTTAGAGATGGGGTCTCACTGTGTTGCCCAGGCTGACCTCAAACTCCTAGGCTCAGGGGATCCTCCTGCCTCAGCCTTCCAAAGTGCTGGGGTTAGAGGTGTGACATCATGCCCGGCCCTCATCTGTGTTTTTAGAAGCCCTCCAGGACATTCTGATGCAAACTGAGAACCCCTGAACTAACGGATGGGTTCATTCAACAAATACTCCCTGGGTACTCCCAGGTGCAGTTGGAACTGTGGGAGGCCCAAGGGTTAAACACAGTGGAGAAAACGTATAGTGGATTGAACGATGGCCCCCAAAAGACCTGTCTCAGAAAACTGAATATCACCTTCCTTGGAAGAAGGGTTTTTGAGATGTGATTAAGGATACTGAGATGAGATCATCCCAGATCACCCAGCAGACTCGAAGCCCAATGACAAGTGTCCTTAAAAAGGGGAAGACACAGAAGGCCGTGTGAAGATGAAGACAGGGATTGGAGCAAGGCAGCCGCAGGCTGAGACACGCAGGAGGCGACATAGGTAGACAGACAGCTGATAGACAGACAGATATTAATAGATGAATAGGTAGGTGCGTGGATACACAGGCAGATAGGTAGACAGACAGATAGATGATAGCTAGATGGATAGATAGGTATTAATAGGTAAATACATAGGCAGGCATATAGATAGATAGGCAGACAGATGATAGATGGCAAGAGGGCGGATAGGCAGGCAGATGGATGACAGATTGACAGATGACAGGCAGATAGATAGACACAGAGATAGATAAAGAGATGGAGAGATGGGGGAAAAAGGAAGAGAGAGAGAGAGGGACGGAGAGATGAATTGCCCCTCAAGAGCTGTCGGACCCAGGGCCTCCGGGCCTCGCCAGCTGTTGGCCAGAGACAGCAGCTCCTTGCTGCATGGGCCTCTCTGGCTTCATCAGAGTGAGCAAATGAGAAGGGCCAGAGAGAGCAAAATGGAAGTCAGAGTGCTGCAAACGAACCTCAGGACTGGCCTCCCATCACTTCTGCCGTCTCCTGCTGGTGTGGGAGGAAGTCGGTCGGCCCAGCCCCCACTGGAGGGGCGAGGACTGCACACGGATGTGACTGCCAGGACGGCTGGGAGCCAGTTTAGAGGCTGCCTGCCGCACTGGGAGAAAACCAAAAGTTTTGTTTAGCATATGATACATTTCAGATGCAGCTGAAGAATCTATGAAGATTGCAGCATGGGTGAGGGTAGATGGGTTGTTGAATATTGAATGAATGAATGAATGAATGAAGAAAAGAATGGAAAGATGAATAGGTGGGCTGGTAGATCTACGGATGGACAGTCCAC